GCTGGGGGGGGGGGGTGTCCCAGACACCTGGGTTCCCAGTGTGTGTGTGTGTGTGTGTGTGTGTGTGTGTGTGAGAGAGTGTAAGACATCTGGGTGTGTACGCGCACATCCCACACACCTGGGTTCCGTGTGTGTGTGTGTGTGTGTGTGTGTGTGTCCCGAATGCCTGGGTTCCCTGTGTGTGTCAGACTCCTGGGTGCTGTGTGTGCGCGCACATGCTCCACAAACCTGGGTTCTCTGTGTGTGTATGTGTGAGACACCTGGGTGGTATGTTTGTGCGCACATGTCCCACACACCTAGGTTCCGTGTGTGTGTGCATGTGTGGCCCAGATGCCCCAGTTCTGTGTGTGTGTGTGTGTGTGTGTGTGTGTCAGACGCCTGGGTGGTGTGTGTGTGTGTCCCAGATGCCTGGGTTCCCCTGCCCCCCTCCCACCCCCCTTCTCACCAACTTTGATGGTGACATTGCCGTGGAAGCAGCCGGGCCAGACGCCATAGCACCGCACCACCATGCTGGCATTGGCCTCCTCGCAGGGGCCCTGGTCTGGGCAGCCGTAGCACTCCACCCCGTTGGGCTCCTGGGCGCTCACGTTAACTGGGGGTGGGGGGACAGTGGGTTAGACACCAGTGGGGAACCCAGGCATCCAGGGCCGTGGCCCAGACCTCACTCCCCTCCCACAGCTGGGGTAGACCCCAGGCGTCCGGGCTCCCAGATCTGCAGCCCACCCAGTGAGCAGAAAACCCAGGTACCCAAGTCCCAGCCCCCCATCTGACCCCCCCAGACCCCATTCCCATCCCAGGCTAGGGAGAAAACCTAGGCATCTGCCCCCCCCTCCGTGGGACCCAGGTGTCCGTGGGCTCACCGGAAGGCCTCAGGACTAGATCCTGCAGAGGGAGGAGCCCGTTGCAGTGGCTGTGGTTGCACTGGCGCAGCTGTCCGAAGGCCACAATCCCTCGCACATCCACGCCCTTGTCGTTGGTGCCCGCCATGCCTGCGCCGCACCCGCGCTCTCCCAACACGAACTGTCCATGGCCTGTGAGGAGCCGGGGTGGGGAGGCAAGGTGAGGACCCGGGCGTCCAGGCTCCAGCCCCCCACTCCCCTCCCACAGCTGGAGAGAGAACCCAGGGGTCCGGGTTCTCTTCGTGACTCACTCCATTGCACACCAGCCGCGGCCTCCATGCACACGCTGGTGCCCTTGGGACACGTCACGTTCTGGACCCGCTCGGGGCTGCAGCCGCCATCCCCCTGCTCCACACAGCTCAGGCACTGCAGCGCCGCCGCACCTGAGGGTACAGGGGAGTGTCCTCGTGAACTCACAAGGGCCTCCTCGCAAGACAGCCATGCCCCTGCCCCTAGTGAGACCCATCTCTCCTTCCCTTCCTCTCTCCCATCCCCCCTACAAGTCCTCTCCCCGTGTCCCTTTGCCTTCCTCTTTGCATGCAGCCGGTGTCTCATGCACAGTCCATGTTGCACGCCCTCGCACGGATCCTGTGCCCAGCGCCTCACACCCGTTTCTCTGTGCTTATATTTCCCTCTAGGGTGGAGTGACTTTGCATGGAAGAAGCCTAAATCCTGCCCCGCCCTCCTTGAATACCCCTCCTCATACAAATCTTCACACCTCCCTCGTGGTTGGCAGGTTCACCTTCCCTGATTTGCACAAATACAATTGCTTCCCTTTCACTTTTTTTTTCCAGTGGAGGATTCCCCTCCCCTCACAACCATAAATTCCCATGTGGCCTTGCAGCTCGGGGTATCTCCCCCATGAGATCACACGTGTCCCCGTGCCATCATCTCTTGCTATGTCCACGTTTCTCTTGGTCGTTTTCCACTCTGCCTGGCTGATCATCAACAGGGATTTTTCACTCTCTGGGGCCTTTTTCCCATGGAGTTTTCACTATTCTGAGCCTTTTCTCCTGGACTTTTGCACAGTCCCATGTCCTTTTTCACCTTGATTTTTCACTAGTCCCTTGTGATTATCCATGTGGATTTTCACGTTCCCTGGGGCCTTTTTCACATGGGTTTTTCACTCTCCCTGGGCTGCTTTTCACATGGGTTTTCACTATTCCTACATCAGGCTCCACATGATCCTTTCACAGTCCCATGTGGCTTTTCACCCTCCCTGGGACATTTTTCACATGGATTTTCACTATTCCTGTGTCACTGTCCATCTTTTCCACAATCCCATCCTCTTTCACTTTGATTAGTCACTATTCCTGTGTGAAAATCCACCTGGATTTTCACTTTCCCTGGCAGGGGGCATTTTTTATGAGGGTTTTTCATGATTCCAGTGTACGTCTCCATACGACGCTTTCACAACCTGTCCTTTTCCACCTAGTTTTTCACTATCCCTGTGCGATGATACATGTGGGTTTTCACTTTCCCTTTGATCTTTTTCACGTGGGCTTTTTCACAATTCCTATATCTGCCTCCCCATGACCTTTCGTGGCTCCATGTGGTTTTTCACTATTCCCACATGATAATCCACCTGGCTTTTCAACCCCACCCCCTGCCCCTTGGGGCCTTTTTGGCAGGGAGTTTTCACTATTCCCATGTCATTCTCCATGTGCCCCTTTAATGACTGCGCTCACATGGCCTTTCTCCCCCGCCTCGCATGAGCAACTTACACACTCCCACCCCCCAACCCCACCGTGAAAGGATGACTAGGGGGCGTGAAATTTGCCTGGCCCAACCCCACCCCCACTTCCCTGGGGCAGGATCAGGTCCCCTCCACTCTATTGCCCCCCAGGGGGTGTAGAAGTGCTCCCCCAGCCCCTTCCTACCCTGGGGGGGAATTGTGCCCTGCCCCAGTTCTGCCCCAAAGGAGACAGGATCTGACCCCCTCTGCTCAGTCCCCCCAGCCTCTTCTGCCCCAGGGGCCTCTGGGGGGGAACAAGAGTTGCCCCCTGCACTCCTTATCTGCCCTAGGGAGGGCAGAATCAGCCCCTTCCACTCTATTGCCCCTTCAGGGGGTATAGTTACCCCTCCCAGCCCTTTCCTGCCCCAGAGGAGAAGCTAGAATTGCCCCCCTGCACCCTCCAGAATCTGCCTCCTCCACTCTATTGCTCCTAGGGGAGTAGAATTGCCCCCCCAGCCCCTTCCTGCTGTGGAGGGGAGGCAGAATAGCTCTCTGCATCTCCCATCTGCCCCAGTCAGGGGGCACAGTCACCCCCTTCAGCCCCTTTCTACCGGGGGGTGGGGGGGTTAGAATTGACCCTTGTACCCTCCTATCTTCCACTTCCCCACTATTTACTGCCCAGGGGGGTAAAATTACACCCCCAGTCTCCTCCCAATCCAATACAGGGGCTAGAATTGCTCCCTATACCGCCTGCCAGCTCCCCCTCTGTTGCCCCCCAAAGGGGTAGATTTGCCCCCCAACCCGTTTCTTACCCCCCAGGGGGTCCTACCTGGTAGGAGCAGAGCTGCCCCCAGCAGCACCAGGCATGGGGCAGTTGCCATGGCGACAGTCCTGGGATCTCTGAGGTGCCAGGGCCCTGGTTTGGGTCTTTGTAGTGCGTTGGGGTAAGCCCCACCTCTCCCCCGCCCCAGACCCTGGCTGGTTTGGGGGGGGCAGGGCAGGGCAGGGCTTCCCCCCAGCTTTGCCCTATAGGCCAGGATTGCGTTCCCACCAGCTTCCTGTGCCCCCACAGAGAACCCAGGCATCCAGGCTCCCAGCCTCCAGGGCCATGCCACCAGCATGTGTGGTCACGTGGGTGGAGCCATGACAGGAGCCCTGACGCCTGGATCCTTTTCCAGCGCTGGAAGGGTAAGGTGGGGCTGGGAGCTACTGGGCGGTGGGGGGACGACTGGGTCCTTGGCCAACTCTGGGAGGGAATTGGGGGCTGTTGGGGGGGAAGAACTGGGAACCCGGATGCCTGGGTTCTCTCCAGCTCTGGGAGGGGAGCAGGCTGCAGGGACAGAGCTGGAAGGCCAGGACTCCTGGGTTCTTTCCCCAGGGGGGGCTGGGGCGTGGGACTAGGATGCCTGGGTCCTCTCCCAGCTCTGGGAGGGGAGTGGGGACTGCTGTTGGGGGATGCCCGCATGCCTGGGTTCCCTCCAGACCTGGGAGGGGACTGGGGGGTGAGAGTATTAGGGCTGGGCGCTGGGACCGCTGGGTTCTCTGGGAGGTGAGTTGGCATTTGGGGGAGGGGTGCAGATCAAGGAGCCTGGACACCTGGGTCACCCTCCCATCCCCCTTAAGCCTGGATGACGTGTGTGTGTGTGTGTAAGAGACACTAGGGGTGGGAAGAGGCAGCTGCTGGATGCCAGCCAGGCTTGGGGAGGTTATGGGGGGCTCCAGCCCCTTGGCCCACTGCCTCCCCAGGGCTGCAGGAGGTTCCCAGGAGGTGCCAGCTTCCCTGGCTTCCGTCTCCCATCGCCCTCTGGAGGTTGCAGTTGGCCACTGCAGGGCTGGGGTGGGACCGGACTAGGAGCTGGAGTTGGGGGAGGGGCAGGTGGGGCATCCACAAGAACCCAGGAGTCCTGCGCCAACCTCCCCCCACTCACGTGACCCACTTCCATCTGAGAGCTAAGGATGGAACCCAGGCATCCAGGACTCCCAGTCTCCCAGTTCAAGGAGGGACAAAGAAGAGTCTGGATGCCTGGGTTCTCTGGGAGGGAAAGGGGCTGGGGGATGAGGGTAAGGTCGGACTGGGAGCTTGGATGCCTGAGTGCTCTCTAGCCCTGGGAGGGGATTGGGCCTTCCCCCATCCTCCTACACTGACCCCCTACAACCCACAGGGCTCTGGGGGCCAATCCCAAAAAACCTCAGCCAGGACCCCCCATGCTCTGACCCGGAGCCCTAACTTTAGTGCATCTTGTCCAGACTCCACCTCTCACCCCATCGCCATGCACACACCTAAAGCCAAAAGCAGGGTAGCCTGGATGCCTGGGTTTACAGCTCCTATGGGCCAACGTCAGGACATGGAGGCATTTCCCCTTCCAGGGGGAGCCAGTCCCAATCCGGACTTGATCTGGGAGCTGGTGGGGTAGTGGGACACCAGAACATCGGAGCCCTCCCCCAGGATTCCCCCCCACACAGGCTGAGTGACACCAGGATCGGGACCTCAGGCCCTGCCTAGGATCAGGGCCCTAGGGGGTCCCATCTACGTAGAAGGTCCCCTCAAAGCTGTAGCACTCCCGGCCAGTGGTTGCTGGGAGAGGATAAGGAGAGAACCCAGGCTCCCAGTCCCTCTCAATCTCACCCCCCAACCCCCACTCCCCTCCGACAGCAAGGTTAGAACCCAGGCAGCCGGGCTCTCAGCATCCCTCCTCCCCACAGCTCTACCCACCACCCCCATCCCAGATTTGAGAAGAACACAGGCATCCCAGCTCCATCCTCCCCATACCTGGTAGGAGGAAGCAGAGAAGTGCCCCCATCAGGGCCCTTCTGGGAGACATTTTCCTGGGACGATACAATTCCTTGGAGGAGAACAGTCGTGAGTTATTTCACCCCAGGGCAAGTCATGAACCCAGGCATCTGGACTTCCAGCTCCACCCTATCCTCCCCTTCTCCCCAGGGCTGGGGCAAGAAGGAGGCAGCATTGGGCAACAGGAAGCCAGGAATGGGTTGGCAAAGGCTTTGGCATGGGGCGAGTGACTGGGTTGAGGGGGAACTGGGTGCAGGGGCTGCAGGCATGACCCTGGGGTGATGGGGGGAGGGAAGGGAAGGGAAGGGCACATCAGGAGATGGACAGATAGGTGGATAGCAGGATGGAGAGAGAGCCCAATGGATAGATAGATAGATAGATAGATAGATAGATAGATAGATAGATAGATGGGTGTGGATAGGTGAATGGATTAATACACAGACACACACACAGATGGGAGGACAGAGAGACAGAAAGATGGATGGGTGGGTGGACAGGGAGCTGGAGAGGTAGATAGACTGATGGATGGAAGGACAGTCAGACAGATGGACGGATGGATGGACCAAAAGACCAACTGACAGATGGATGGACGGGGTGGGTGGGTAGGTAGATGGATGGATGAATGGACAGACAGAAGGGCAGGCACTACCTTTGAACAACCCTAGGACCTGCCCCCCCCCCCCCCCCCCCCCCTCATTTTCTCTCCTCCCCCCCACCTCCTTATCTTCTAGCCTGCCACACCCACCAGGGGACTCCTGGGTTCTCCCCTAGCTTGGGGAAAAGAGTGGGGGCTGGAAACCCGGATGCCTGGGTTCTCTCCAGCTCTGTGGGGGAAGGTTGGAGCGGGGGAAGGAGGGCTGGGAGCTGGGGCACTTGGGTTCTCTCCCTTCCTCTGAGAGAGGGGTAGAGTCTAGTGGGTTAAGGCAGCAGGTGAGATACAGCTCAGGACTCTTGGGTTCTGTGCTAAAGACCCCTTTCCTTTCCCTTCCGTTCTGCCCACTGCCCCACCCTTGTCCCTGGCTCCAGGACACACATCACCTGGTGATTCCCCATGACAAACCACCCCCAGGGCCCGGCCACAGCCAGCTCAGTGGGGATAGGCAGCTGCAGTGATCAATGCTTCCCACTAGGTGGCAATGACACACCATGACATCACTGGGCCTGCATTCATGGCCAATTCTCAGCACCCCTAGATGGGATCTTGATAGGGCCTGGGCTGGATCCAGCTGCAGGTCACCCACCCCCAGCAGCCTCTAACAGGCCGTAACCATGAAGCATCAGAAGCCAATAACTCCATCAATCCATCCCATTTTCCCTCACTCCCGCATTCTCCTTCATCTTCCCGTTTCAAAGTTACCTCTCTCCAGCTACACTCCTCCATCCATCTCTATGTCCTCCATTCCTCCCTCCCTCCCTCCCTCCATCTCCACAACTCTCATCCATCTCTCCATCCCTAGATCCCTTCATCCACCCCTAGATCGCTTTGTCCATCTATCCCTCCATCCATCTCCACAACCCTCACCCATCCCTAACTCCCTTCACCCATCCCTAGATCCCTCTATCCATCCATCCCCATGTACTCCATTCCATCCCTCCTACCCTTCCTCCATCCATCAGTCCATCTATCCCCCATCCATCCATCCATCTACCCCTCACCAGTGCCCAACTAGCTAAACATAAACCACCGTGTGTGTCCCCTTTACCCCTTATGTCCCAACTCCCCTCCCAAGCCCCGCCTTCCATCTGCCCAATCCCATGTCTGCAAACCAGGAAACACCAACCCTGATTACAACACATCCCTACCTTGGGCAAGCAACAGTGTTGAGTGGAACCCATTCCTGCCATCTGGATGCAATGGAGGGGCAGGGACATGGGTGCTATGGGAGGAGGGACACACAGGCCTCTGTCACATGTTACATTTATCATGCAATTTATGGGTCAACAGTGCAATAAATTGAGGCCAGTCACACATGTAGAGTCATTGTCAGGCCATCAAAATAGCCGTCCAGCTACAAAAAGAGCCAACCAGCTACAAAGTCAGTGCTTGGAAATGTGTAGCAACTTTATAGCTGGTTTGTACCCAGATTGCATTTGAATATGGGGCAGGGCCTACAGACAGACTGGGCTGTCTGCCATCGTGTCACTCTTGGCCAATCAGGAGAGACAAGCAGAGTCCAACACAAGCGGGGTTTCCTCTCCAGTCTCCACATCGAGAAGATGTGAGGGGTCATGATATGGGTTATTTGAGCTACTAGTAGGGGGGAAGACTGGGGTACAGGGAGCCCCAGATCTTCAAGGCAACCTAGGCTGGGTCAGGAGGTCAGGGGTCAGTCGGAATGAGGGTGCGGTCAGACAGAAGGGTCCTGGGCCTTCTATCCACTCATCCACACATCTCCTGATGCACCCTTTGCTTCCCTCCCCCACACTCCCCCTCCCCCCCGCCCCAAGGACATGGCTGGAGCCCCTGTGCCCAGTTCCCACTCAACCCAGTTGTTTGCCCCATGCCAAGGCCTGTGCCAACCCATGCCCAGCTTCCTGTTGCCCAATGTTGCCTTCTTCCTGCCCCAGCCCTGCGGAGAAGGGGAAGGTGGGGTGGAGCTGGGAGCCCAGATGCCTGGGTTCCCGATCTGCCCTGCAGTGAAACAACTCATGACTGTTCTCCTCCAGGGAATTGCATCGTCCCAGGAAAATGTCTCCCAGAAGGGCCCTGATGGGGGCGCTGCTCTGCGTCCTGCTACAAAGTATGGGCAGGAGGAGCCCAGACGCCTGGGTTTTTCTCAAATATGGGATTGGAAGGGGGTCTGGGGCAGGGGTTAGAGCTGTGGGGGAAGAGGGATGCCCGGACACATGGGTTCTAACCCTGTGCTGGGAGCGGAGTAGAGGTTGGGGTTGGAGTTGGAGGGTGAGCATGAGGGGGACTGAGAGCCCAGACGCCTGGGTTCTCTTCTCATCCTCTCCCAGCAACCACTGGCCTAGAGTGCTACAGCTTCGAAGGGACCTTGTATGGGGAGGCAGAGCTGAGAGACGTGGGCTCAGTCCCCTGTCAGCCAGAGGAGACTGTCTGCATCCAGGGGACAGTGGCCCTGCAAGTCAGTAGGGAGACAGGATCCCTTGGGCCTGGATCCTGGGCTGGACCAGAGGCCCCAGGGGGGCCCAAACAGGTTGGGAAGGGGCCCTGATCCTGGGTTCTGGGAAGGGCCTGATTTTGGTGTCACTCAGCCTTAGGGTGGGGGACGATCCTGCAGTCACTGGACCCCAGGAGGGACCCAGTCCTGGGGTTTACTGGCCTTAGGGGGTCCAATCCTTGTGTCACTGGGCCAGAGGGGCCTGATTCTGGGGTCACTGGGCCCAGGGATATGGTGCTGGGGGAGCTGGGTCAGGGGAGGAGGGGGAAGTATCCAGAGCAAGAAGGAGGCGTTATGGGGCAGGGAAGGGCCCTGATCCAGGGGATACAAGATGGAGCAGGGAAGAGTCCCAATTCTGGGGTGCTCCGGCTCTGAGGTCACTGGGCTATGGGGAGCCAATTCAAGGCAGGGAGAGTGGCCCTGATCCTGGGGCCTGATCCGGGATCCTTCTCTCCCATCCTCCTGTCACCAGCGGGCGGGCGGCCAGCCTGGCTGGTATGGCTCGGCTGTACCACGGGGAGTGGGTTGTGGATCCAGGGGTCCCAGGTACAAGGGGCCCTTCGTATCTTCACTGACGTCCAGTTCTGTCGGTCCCGGCTCTGCAACCAGCACTACCTCAACCGCAGCCTTAGCATCTCTGCAGGTACCAGACTGGCCCCAATCTGGGCTGGATCTGGGGTGGGGGGTGGCACTGGCTGGCTCGGGGGCAGGGAGGTGAGGCCGTTCTCCTCCAGGGGGCACTGTTCTGCCTTATCTGTGCTGGACCTGTCCTTTGTCTCAGTTCCAGGAGCAGGGCTGGATTACACCGGGGGAGCGCGGATGCCTGGGTTCTTTGGAAGGGGAGTGGGGTCAGAGCTGAGGGGGGCTGGGAGTCCAGACCCCTGGATTCTATCCTGCCTGGGAGCCAGGAGCTTGACCCCAATAAATTGAGACCAGTCACACATGTGTAGTCATTATCGGGCCTTGAAAATGGCTGTCCAGATGCAAAAAGAGACTTGACCTGGTTCCGATCCTGGGGTATAGGATGAGGCAGAGATTTGCCTGTCCCATTTGGGGTCTTATGAGTTGAAAACAGGACCCCTATGATTTTCCCAACCTCCTCCCTACCCCTGCCTTTCTTCCCCGCTGCCCAGACCCTCCAGCCAATGTCTCGGGGACACTGCAGTGCTACAGCTGCATCGGGCCAGCCTCTGAGAGCTGCTCCCTGGGCAGGGCTGAGGTCACCATGTGCGGACTCCATGACACCCACTGCTCCTCTGGGACGGTCACCACTGCCATCAGTAGGGGCAGCTTGCGTGAGGTTGGAGATGGGGTGGCCTGGACCCCTGGGTTCTCCATTTCTGGATGGGTGGATGGATGGATGGATATAGAAATGGATGGAGGGATGGATATAGGGACAGATGGATGGATGGAAGGGTGGATGGATGGATGAGTGAATGTGTAAGTATTTGGGTGGGTGGCTGTCAAGTGTGTATTTGGGTGGGTGGGTGGTGGCAGGCAGAGAAGGCTGTGCTGGGGCACCTGGCCAGGCCATGAACCCCCGCCCACCTCCGTTTCTCTCCCCCACCCACCAGGGTCCTACTCCCAGTCCTTCTCCATCAGCAGCTGCCAGGCCCTGAGCTGTGGTCACCGCCTTGAGCTGAGTGACAGCCATGTCACCATGACAGTCACCGTGGACTTGTGGCCACAGCCTGTGCAATCATGCCAGGACGGAGCACCCCATGGGCAACCCTCAGGCCCCAAGCCCCAGCACCAGGACAGAGACCCCCATGGACAATCCCCAGGCCCAGAGTACCAATGCCGCAATCCTGCCTGTCCCCACCCTGCCCCTTGGTGCCCTCCTGGCACTGCTGGGGGTCCTGGGTCTGTAGAGGTGAGAGGGGCAGCCCCCTGACATCATTGGTGTGTGCCTCTTTCTGGTATCCACAGCTGGGGCTCTTGAATTCTGGGTAGAGCAGGGCCAGCTGAAAGCCCAGACACCTGGATTCTCTTCCTGTTGTGGGAGGGGAGCGGGGTCTTGGGCGTGAGAGCAGGGGGTGCTGGGAGCCTGGACTCCTGGGATCTATTCCTGCAGGGTTGGTTCTATTAACCCTTCTTCTCTCTTGGTCTTTCCTGATATTGCCATTAAAGTCCTTTAACCAGAAGCCCTTGCGTCTTTCTTTGCCCGGCCCCTCCCCCACCTCTGGGGCAGCACCAGCTGGGAACTCGAGGGTCACCTTGGGCTGCGGGTCAGGAGTGAGGGGCACCGGCAGCAGGTCTCAGGTGGCAAGGTCCCCCGCTCTGGGAAGGGAAATGGGTCAGATAGATCAGAGCAGGGGGGCTTGGACACCTGGGTTCCCTCCTCTGTCTGAGACAGAAACCCAGGAGTCCTTGGTGATGGGCAGGGAGGGGTTCCCAGCTCCGCTGCGGAGGGGCAGGTCCAGAGAGCCCAGGAGTCCTGGGAGAAGAAGCTAGAGCAGCCCCCAAGGTTGGTGGGGAGGTCATGGTTGGGGCGACTTCCACAGACCTCCTGCCTGGTGTGGAGGTGAGTTGTGCCAGGTCTCAGCCTACTTGGGGTTGGAGTGGGGGGCTCTTCCAGGAATCCCCTAGGCCCTTCCCAGGGCAGGGAGAGAACCCAGGTCTCTGGGCTCCCTTCCCAAAGCAGGCCTAAAAACTCCACTTATCTTACCAAAATCCTACTTTTGTCTGCCAATTCAGGGCTCCCCCCACCCCACAATCCCAGGGCCTCTAATTTTCACTGGCTATTTTTCCAGTTATTCCACTGGTTTCACTGGTGATTTCACTGGTTATTTTTCTTGACTTAGTCCCACCCCCTGTCTCTGCAGAGGATTTGAATTTTGACCTCTTTTTGCCAAATTTGACCTTTTTTTTCCTTTTCCCCTTAAAATCAGCAGCTTTTAGTTGTGGACTGTGGACCTGACACAGCTAAAAAAAAGTGCTGAATGAAGCAAACGGGCTGGAAAAGATGATCACAGAGTTCCCATGAAAAGCTAATTATAATATTTTTTTCCTTCTAGGTTGGCAGGTTTTATTTGACCAAAATCTGCATTTTTTTACATAAATGTGGGGTTATCCCCACCCCCCGTCCCCTCCATCCACCCACCACTTTGGTCTGACCTCTTTATAAACCCAGTGGATGACTTTCCTGGCCTGAAATGAGCTGATTTTCCCCCAAATATACTAGTTGATGTTTCAGGTTCGTTTCACCTGATTTCACCTCTTAGGGAGCTTGTACACATCACTTTGATTTGATTTGATTTTTTAAATTTTATTTTAAATGCACGAGTTTAGTTTAATCAATTTGCAGCTCTGAACTCCGTTGTACTGGGGTTTTCCTGGGATTTTTAGTTCAATCAATAAATGGGTCATGGTTCATTCATAAATCACGTTTTAGGGGGTGGGATGGAGGCGGGCACATTAATGAAGCAGAATTTCCATTTATAAACTCAGGTTTTGGTTCAATTTAAATAAAACCCTTTCTGCATAAATTGTGTTATTCCTCTGAATAATCTGGAATTCCTCTGAATATTCTATATTTTCTGATTAATCAATATTTCCCTCCAAATAATCTATATTTTTTTCCGCTGAATAATATTCCCTCTGGATAGTTTATATAATCTATGTTTCCCTCTGAACTACCTGAATTTTCCCTCTTAATTATCTATATAGTCTATATTTCCATCTGAATCATCTATATTCCCCTCTGAGTGATCTATATAATCTAAATTCCACTCTGAATAATCCATATAACCTATATTTTCTTCTGAATAATCTATATTCCCCTCTGAGTCAGCTATGTAGTCAATAATTACCTTTGAATCATCTATATAATCTATAATTGCCTCTTAATTATCTATATACTCTATATTTCTATCTGAATCATCTATATTTCCCTCTGAATAATCTACATTTTCCCTTTGAATAATCTAAATAATCTATATTTACATCTGAATAATCCATATTATCCTCTCAGCAATCTATATTTTCTCTCTGAATCCACAAGAATGACCTCATTTCCTACTTCAGAAAGCTTCAACCACAGAGAACTTTTTCTCTTTGGAGGGCTAACAGTTAATTTTGTAAAAAAATGCTCCCCCCCCTCCCCAATGCCAATTATTTTAACTTCTGGTGGCCCATGCTAGTTATTTCCACCTCCCCCCTCCACCCCCTTCCTACTGCTAAATGCAAGTTTTACAGTCAAGAGTCACAAAACCTCGTTGAAAATTATTCTGTAAGCTTTTTTTTTTTCATTTTCCTCCTGTTTTTGTCCCAAGAGAACTTCATATTTGGAGTTTTTTTATATACATTTTTTTTCTTTTTCCTCCAGAATTTCTATTAACGCCCCCCCCCACACACACACACATGCACACACACCTGTTTTTATCTGGGGCGTTCCCCCACAAGAACATCATTTTGAAGGATGTGTTATATACATTCTAGAAACCCCCAAAAGCAATGTTCTTGTGCGAAAAATGGCTAAGAACAGGAGTAGAAAGAAAAGGACAATAGTTTCTATTAAAAAACCCAGAAAATGATGTTCCTGTGGGAAAGAAATGGATAAAAACACAAGAAGAAAGAAAAGGAAGAGAATTTCTATTTAAAAAAACAGAGAAAATGATGTTCTTGTGGGGGGAAAATGGCTAAAAACAGGAGAAAGAACAGTGTTTTTATCCATTTTTTCCCACAAGAGCATCATTTCCTAGTTTTTTTAAATATAAATAATATTTTTTCTCCTCCTGTTTTTATCCATTTTTCCCCATGAGAACATTGGTTTTGGGTTTTTTAAAGAAGTAATTTTTCTTTTCGTTCTCATCTTGTTTTTATCTATCTTTTCCCATAAAACCATTGTTTTTTGGGGGGGTTTCATATAAATTATTTTTTTTCTTTTCTTTCTCCATTTTGCACATGAGAACATCATTTGGAGTGTGCGTGTGTGTGTGTGTTGGGGGGGGTGTCATAGAAATTCTTTCTCTTTTCTTTCTCCTCCCATTTTCAAATCAATTTTCCCCACAAGAACATTGGTTGCTGGGGGGGAAGGTAACAAAAATTATTTTTTCTTTTCTTTCTCCTCCTAGTGTTATCCATTTTTCCCACAAGAATAACATTTTTTTTTTTTGGCCGGGGGGGGGGGGGGGGTTAATATAATTTTTTTTTCTTTTCCTTCTCCTGTTTTTATACATTTTTTTTCCCTGCAAAAACATCGGTGAGGGGAAGGGGAGGGACTGTGGGGTGTTAAATAGAAATTCTTTTGATTTTCTTTTTCCTCCCTGTATCTATTTTTTCCCACAAGGACATTGTTTTTGGGGGGAGCCCTTTCTTCTCTTGATTTTATCCATTTTTCCCCATGAGAACGTAACTGGGGGCAGGGGGTTAATAGAAATTCTTTTTCTTTGATTTCTCCTCCTGGTTGTATCATTTTATTCCCCACAAGAACATCATTTTGGGGGGTTATCACAGAAATTAGTTTTCTTTTCCTTTTCCCCCTATTTTTATCAATTTCTTCCCGCTAGAACATTGATTTTGCAGGGGTTTAATAGAAATGTGTTGTTTTTCAGGGGGAAGAACTCTCGAAAGGAAGAGGCTTTTACGGACGATTTGTTTTCCGTTCTCACGTGTAACTAAGCCTCTGGGTTTGGCTGGTGTTATGCTGATAGGGACTGCCCACGGCAATGACCTTGATAATTATAGCAATGTAATTATAATAATCAAGGTGGCATCTTGAAAATGAACGTTTCAGCATTGGTGTCTGGCATCCATGTAGGTCAAAGGAAAACTTTTAAATAACTTTCTTTCTTTTTTTGCCCCCTGGTGAAAAAGGGTCTTTTAAAATAACTGAAAACTGATTTTTATATTGGATTTTTCTCAAAAACAATTTTTCCCTTTCTTCATGTCTCCAAATGGTTTTTTTCACAAGTGTGAAATCCTCCATACTAAACCCCATTTTCCCTCAATTGCAGTCTTTTCCCCCATTCACCGATTTTTCCCCTCCAAAAATTCACTTTTCCTAACACTAAACCCCTCCCCATCTTTCTTCTCACTTTTTACCATCACTCACCTGGTTTTTCCTTTCCAAAATCCACTTTTATTAACATTAAACACCACTTTCCCTCAATTTTGCACCAAACTTTCAGTCCTTTCCATCATTCACCTACTTTCCCCTCAAGAAATTCACTTTTTTTCTACACTGAACCCCATTTCCATTTCACCAAAATATCACTTTTTTCATCATTTACCTACATTTCCCCTCAAAATTTCACTGTTCCTAATGCTAAACCCCTTTCTCCTCTTTTTTCCACCCAAATCTCACTCTTTTATCATCACCCACCTGTTTTCTCCTCTCAAAAATCCATGTTTCCTAACACAAAGCCCCATTTCACTCGATCTCCCACCAGAATCTCACTCCTTTTCATCGTTTACCTACTATTCCCCTCAAAAATCCCACTTTTCCCTACGCCGAACCACATTTTCCCTGAATCCTCCACCAAAATCTTGCTCTTTTCCATCGTCCCCCTCAAAACTTCCACTTTTAATAACGTTATACCCCTTCCCCCTCAATTTTACATCAAAACCTCCCTCTTTTCCCCCATTCACTTATTTCCCCCTTCAAAAATTCCACTTTTCCTAACACCCCCATTTCCTCTCTTTTCCACCAAAATCTTGCTTTTTGTCCACCAAAAATCTCACTTTCCCCCCGCAATCGTTCACCTATATTTCTCTCCCAAAATTGAACTTTTCTAGCACTAAACCCCACTTTCCCGCCGCTCTCCACCAAAATCTCACTCCTTTCCATCATTCACCTATTTTTCCCTCAAAAAACTCAATTTTCCCAACACTGAACCCCCATTTCCCCTCACTTCCCCACCAAACCTCTTTTGTTTTCATCATTTGCCTATTTTTCCCCTAAAAAAAACCCAGTTTTCCCAACATGAACCCCCTTTGTCCCTCCACATCTCACTCTCGTTCCCATCATTGGCCTGTTGTTCCCCTCAGAAAACTGACTTTTCCCCACACAACCCCCCATTTCCCCTCATGGTCCTCCTCCTTCCCAGAATGTCCTGCTCCCTCATTAGGCTAGTGGCTGTTGTTTCCTCTGGGACCTGGGCCAGGAAATGAATAATTGGCTGTTTATTTGCCCCCGTTTCCTTCCGGGGGGGGGGGGGGGGGTTTGGTGTTCAGGGGGGGGGTATTTGCTGTCACGGCTGCCCCTGCCAGGGTATTTTTGACTGGGTTGACCCAAAACGGTGCTTTTTTAGGGCGAAAAAAATGAGCTTTTGTCATCCAAATATTGGCCTTGCTTTTCCTTATGGGCAGGCCTATCTACCCCGTTCCCTCTGCACCAGGGGGAGGGAACCCAGCACCCCCGCCCCCGCTCCCCCCAGAGCTGGAGGGAACCCAGACGCCCGAGCTCCTCACTCCCCTAGACCCCACTTCCCTCCCAGGGAGCCCACGCCTCCAGGCTGCCCCGCTCTCGCCCCCACCACCCGTGACCTGCAGGGAACCCAGGTGTCCGAGTGGCCATGGGTGCCCACATGACAGAGCCGGGTGTTTGTGCATGTGTGGCAGGACGCGCCCAGTGCACACCTCGCACCCCCACGTGCCGGGCCCTGGGAAAGCTGGGGAACCCAGGCCTCTGGGCACCCCGCCCTGCCCTGCATCGAGCCTCCATCCCAGCTCCCCCCCACCAGACCTCCCCCTCCCACCAC